CATCTGTTTGGTGATGGATGGATAGGGTGATTTCAGATGAATTGGCAGGGTGGGGTTCACATCAATTGAAGACGTCACAACTTATTCCTTCCCCCTGAAAAAGGTCCATTTCACTGGACTGCTCTGGCCTCAGTCTAGTTCAGTTCTTAATATTTCACACCGAAAGGTTGTCTTATCAATGAGACTGACCAGGACAGCAATCCAAGTAATAAATACAATCAAAAGTAAAATAAATAAATAAATCCAAAATTCTATAAAACATGCACTTTACAACTAAAACTTAAATCCCAAATCTTGGATTCTTTTTCCTTTTCTGTAAGTTACATCACACCTTAAATTTTCAGGGTTTCAAAGAAGTTAAATCATATCATAATATTTCACTAATTCCAATACATTAAATCGCTCAATCAATCGTGTTAAACATCTGTGAGTATTCACCTTACTAAGAGACACAAAAGATTTTCAATAACACATCATATCCTTCCACCTTACCACACACAAACACTCATACTCCTACAGATATTAATTCACACCTAGCACAAATCCAAAGAATTGCTTATTCCCATCTACTTATTCCAACGATATTAAATAAACAAAATAAACACCTATAAACTCCAAACTTTGCACACAACATTAAAACAATTTCTTTTTATTAAGAAGTTTAAATCAAGACCTTCTAAATTAAGTTAAATTTTGGCTTTCGGTAGGCATTCTCACAACCATTTATGACAAGTTATTCACAATTCATGTTATTTTCTTCCATTACGCTAGTTATTGAAGAAAATTAGACAATTTAATTGGGAATATAATTAACATACTTCATTAGCTCATGCAATGAATTTACTAAGTCTATATTATGTGCATGGAACAAATTTTCCGACGGCTCTAATTTTCCTTTGGTCGATCTGACTTCCGACTCAATCCAACTCAACCACTTTAATACTAGCTGCTTTACACGATTTTTCCAAATCTGCATCAGAATGTCTATATCAACCATTCGTGATACATCAATCTGCTCTAACCATCCCATAACCTGTGTGGTTAAATTACATCCATAAGAAGAAGCGCATACAAACTTAAACCTCACTTTCTTAATAATGTACATGCCAAATGGCATAACGCATGCGGCATACTTCGGATAACTCATCATGAGAGAACGACGAAAATACCACTTCCACAAATCCAGTACAGTAACCCACGATACCTCGCTATTCTTTTCTACCAAACCTTCCATTTTTAATAAAAGATAAATTTCGGCTCGCGTCACCTGGTTCAAATTCCTAAACTTATTACATTTAATACGTGGATAAGGGTACCGGCTCACTCTTCCTAACCAAACAACGGGCAGAGTACGGTTCGACTGCCCCATCCCGTTTACATCTAAATCCGAAAGATACTCTGTATCTTCTCGTAGCGAATTAATTAACATCTGGGATGTACAACAAGTTTTAATTTTGAACGGCTTTCCCGTATTTAAACTACTATCCTTCTGCCTTAAAGAAATCATCCCAGGATATGAAAGAAACCTTTCTTTCTTTTTAGTGTTAATCATTCTTAAATAGTTACTTCGATCAGGCGGTAATTTAAAATACAGTTGACTTTCCCTTAAAACACCCTGAAAGTTAAAATCCATAAATAGCTTTACCGAATAGAGAATTTCGGAATCTTTCCCTATTCCCTTCGAGCTATTTTTCCTAACCAAATTTGCCAAATTCGGCTTCTTACGGTACAGTTTTATTAAATTGAGACGATAAATGATACTGCGATCTCTTTTCTCGGGTAAATCTATCTCGAACTTAAATTCTGAACTAAAGCTAGACCTATTATCCGTCTCTAAACTGTTCCTATCAAACTCTTTTGGTTCTGAGAGAGGCAAACGCATCGTTAACTCACTTCTCAAACCTCCCCACACATCAGCTTTACACGTGTTTTCTTTTCCTTTATTTAACTGCCCTG